GGTGCTTTCGGCCCCGAGAAGGGCTTTTTCTTTCCTTATCCCTCGGATAATTACTTTTTCTTTCATCTCCGACCAACTTCTTTCTTCTTTGGATAACTTTCCTCTGTTCTTTCGGGATGCTTAATATTGTAGATGTCATTTTAGAGCCCGAAGTGATTCCTTATCAGTCTATTCCCGTTAAGGGAAAAGGGGAAAAAAAACCATCCCCAGCTTTTGAAGGGTCAAACATTTTGTGGCAGGCATTCAGGAATTCCTTTTTTTTTCATCATTTTTTGGCAAAAGAAAGAGAATTGGTTCAATGGCAGAGGAGTGTCTCTGTGGAGTTCAGCATCAACTTCCTCTTTGAGTGGAACCACGACTCAAAGTCTGAAAAGTTTTATGGATGTCTTGAAAAGTCTTGGAAGTTTTCTGGATGAAAGTACTCATTCATTCATAAAGCTTCCAAGATAAGGGATATCCAAAAAATGCGTGTAGACCTCTCTTGCTAGATGGACAGTATGTTATGGACCGAGTAGTTTGAGTCTTCACTGATAGGCAGGAAACTAAGTCAATGTTAACAGTTGTTCCCACTGTGTTTAGAATGTGTTGGGAGGGTGAAGGGACGACAAACCTTTCAGCTGGCTTCCGTCTTGCAGGAGAGTGACATTGATTGAGCTGTAGCTTCCATTTAAATGGCTTGCTGAAGGCAGGGTCATAAAATGCTTTTAAAAAGCCCCCCAAGACTTAACTATTGCAGTTTGACACGTTGTCTGGCAGGGATCCAGGTCAGTGTTTATGAAAAGGGGTGTGCTGTTTGTGTGTCTGATGAGGTACAGAATGCAATAAATACTGAGCTGATGCCTGTTTGTAAAATCTCCATAACGAAGGAATGACCGAGATTTACACACAAATACAGTGAGTCTTCCTCTTCATCTCTACGTGATCTGAAACTCAGTAAATACTCAGTTCTGCTGATAGCCCCAAGGCAGAAGTTTGCTCAGACTTGGGAAGTTAGTCCTGGTGTAGATCAGCGCACTCGTCTGCAGAGAGAAGCCTGTTAATCCCTGTGCAATCAATAGTCACAGGGTAAGATGTGAGTGCTGGTGCCTGAGATCTTTGGAAGACACAAGGAATCAGTATTCCAGAGTTTCCAGATGAGGTGAAATTACACTTAGATAAACCCAGTGTAGCTGACCACAGAGCACTGTGCTCACTGGTCCCTTTGATGCAGAGAGCAATTTACACTAAGCTAGCTTTTAAACATCAGTTGAACGTTGAACACTGATTAATGACGTGCCAAAGAGATACAGCAACACAAAACCAGCCAACAAGCCCTGGGATGTGAGACGTGTTGTTTTGCTTACAGGAGGGAGCTCAGGAGGGATGTGTGACCAGGATTGCCACCCTTTCTGCTGCGAGCATCCCCCCACACCATCAATGCCCCTATTGAGCTGAGAGCAAGTTGGGTGGCAGAGCTTGGCTCTGCAGCAAAACTTGTACATCTTAATGAACCTTGGGTTTTAAAGTGAATCAGCTCAAGCCCAGTGGAGGAACTGAGAAGTGTATGAGGAACTTTAACATTTGAAGATGAAAACCTGGGAGCGCCCATCCGGCTTTGTGGGCGCTACAAGATGCTGGGGAGCTTCATGGGCATAGTCATGGCAGGTAGCTGGGGCCATATGGTAAATCCTGCCCTTCTCTGCTTCTTCCAAAGGGCAGCCCCAGCCCCAACTGCTCCCTGCCAAGTGGAAGGCTTCAGCTGAAAGGGAACAATAGGCAGTTTTATCCTCGAGTCAGCGCGGCTGGCTGGGAACGGCACGGCAGAGGTGATGAACTCCAACGAGGAGAGGGGAGAGTGTTGACAAATTCATTTTAAGCCAGACTGGGCAAAAGACCAGAACACGCACCGCAGGGAGCCGCTACTACAGCCTGCCTGCGGGAATCATTGATAACACAGCCCTGGGGGGGATTTTTCCACACTGGTGGGAAGAAGTTTTCCCCCATAAGTCATGGAGAGAGCAGCAGCCCCGCAGAGCTACAGTCCCAGGCAGGGAGGAGGGAGCGCCGGGTCCGATGCTGTCCTGAAGACACAAGGGTTTTCTTGGCAGGCTGTTCCCAGGGATACAGGGGAAGTGATCAAACAAGTCCTTCAGTAGCCAGGCTTGTCAAGATGAATATTAGAGGGATTGTCCACTGCCGTCAGCCAGACGCTGAAATCAAGGCAAGGTTTGGAATTTGGATGTAATTGGAACCATATTGCGGTGCGGCGGGGCTGGGCGGCCGAGGTGGTCTGGGGCAGGGAGCACAGACGGCTCTCTAAGCGATGATTTGGTGTGGAAATTACTGAGCCCGGGCCCGTTTGCACCAGCTGAAAGTTTGGCTTCGTGATTTCTAACTTCTAACTTTGTGATTTCTAACTTCTAACACTCTGATTTCTAACTTCTAACTTTGTGATTTCTAACTTTGTGATTTCTAACTTCAGGAGATTCTTTCTCCTTGTCCCTTGCCTTATATATAGAAAAGGAACTAAACTGCCATTAACTGGATATGGCAGCAGCAAGGGGAATGGTGAACCTAATTCCTCCAGGTCCCACAGGCCTCCACTTTCCCCTCAGGGCAGGATGAAGGTGCCAGGGCCATGCAGGGTCGGATCTTGCCTCCGAGGGCCCTGTGGCAGCCACGTCAACAAAGGCTCATTGAAGGCAAGCCAAGCTCCTGCTGAGACTGGCGCTGGACTTAGCCAACATATAGGAGACCCTCACGTTAATTCATGCTAATGATGGGCAGGCCGGCCCATTTTGAAGAGAGCTGAATTTGGGACGCTGGTGAAAAGCAAGCACGGCTGCAAGGAAGACTTGGTGGTCAGGCTGCAAGCTCTGCTTTTGTTAACTCTGGTAGGCAGGCAGGCAGCATCCCGGTCAAACTCAGTGTGAGACAGGCTGCTGTCTGTCTTCCTAAACAGATCAACAGGACCTTTACCCCAGGCCCATCCAGAGATTCATTTGTGCACATGAAAACTGCCTTGAAGCTGCTGAGCAGTTCTGATGGGCTGAAGTGATGATTTATGGATTTTGCTTAGTTGTTTGTTTTCCCTCCATCTGCCTGGCAGCCAACACTGCACATACTTCTGGTGCTGCTGCCTCAACTGGGGCATGATGTTGGCATGAAGAATCCAGCCTCAGTTGGGCTGGGCATCCTCAGCTTGTGTTTGCTACATCTCTGGCTCAAGCACAGAGGCAGTCAGTGGCCTCACAACCCAGATCCATAAATCATATCTCATGCACTGATTGTGCATTGCCTACATCCATGGCCAGGGCTGCTGGCCATAAACCACAAAGATGGTGAGCCAGGCTGAAATGCTGTGCTGGCCAAACCAGCAGCAAGTAAACTCCCAACTCCTATTTGACCACATCTTTGCTCGCAGTGATATCACTTCTTAGAAAGCTGAAAGGCTGCAGTCAGCTCCCAGGGGGGTTAGTTACACACATAACACCAACTGTCTGCTTTTCTGGTAGAGAAGGAGCTCTCAATACTTTATGGGCTGGTAGAGCCACTCTCAATCTGTGCTGTCATACCTGGTATGTTGAAACAGTAGTGGGCAGTTGCCAATGCTCATTTTCCCATCAGCAGCTCAGCATCGGTGGCCAGAATTGGCTGAGTCTATCACAGAACAAAAGTGCCTGTTCTGGTTTTGGTGCAAGTCAGTCCATAGGCTGATTAATATCTATTTTATGTCTTAAGCAATATAATAATGTGGGGGATTGGAAGGATTTGAATTATTGCATAACTTTTTACTATGAGGGTGCTGAGGTGCTGGCACAGGGTGCCCAGAGAAGCTGGGGCTGCCCCATCCCTGGCAGTGTTCGAGGCCAGGTTGGACACAGGGGCTTGGAGCAACCTGCTCTAGTGGAAGGTGTCCCTGCCCGTGGCAGGGGGTTGGAGCTGGAGGAGCTTTGAGGTCCCTTCCAACACAGACCAGTCTGGGATTCTACAATCCCAAATTGTGAGTAGCTGTTCACCATGGGAATACTAACCAAAGCATTATTTTTAACTTAATTTCTTTATACTTTGGTGAGAGGTGGAACATGGGAAAAAGCCAAGATTTTGCACTCAGTGAAGAAAAAGATGCCCTGGCAGAGTGAAGAGAGATCTTCTCTGCTTCCTCCACCTCACGATAGTCATTATACACTCAGATTGCGCAAGCTGTCTTGCAGCTCTCAGTATTTCCTCCCTTGCAGTCCCAGCAGGGCTTTTTGGGTGCTGTCAAGTGGGGTCTGGCTCCATGCTGGGGGTCAGCACTGGAAGAAGGGAGGCTTACAGGACCCTCTTCTGCTTTGTCATTACTTGTAGCCCCAACGTGTGCGCGGTGCAGAAGCTGATCGGCACGAACAGGAAATACTTCACCAACTGCAAGCAGTGGTACCAGAGGAAGATCTGCGGGAAGTCAACGTAAGTACCCACGTGGAGGCCAGGGTCTCCCACAAGAGCCTGCTGTGGAGGCGGGTGCTGGGTGGGAGAAGCAGATGGTGTGACAGACGTGGGATGTCAAAGCCCACGGCGTGGGTTTAATGTGCGTATGTGTTAGGAATTGGTTTAGCCTTTTACTCCCTAAGCAATCTTAGTGTTTTCCTCAAATGGCAATCATCATCCTAAAGCACTTAGATGTTAAGAATGGAAAGAACCATGTAAATACAAACCCTGATGGTTTATTCTAATTGCTTTTCTATATATATTTATATAGCGCTCAGAGCTGTAATGAAGTGTGTGCCAGATGTTTTCTAGTACTTAGCTCTGTCTGTCCCCATACTAGGCTCAATGCTGCCTGGATTTAAAACAAGAAAAGAAAGGGGGGGAAAAAGCAACCCAGAGCTGATGGATACTGGAGAGAACATAAACTTCATCCATGTATGTTTGCTTTGGAAGGGAAAACAGAAATAAGGGGAAAGAGGTGTCGCTTTTAGCCAACACTCTCTGATGACTCCACCAGGAAAATGAATTAGACTCGCAGGCCAATTCCACGTCTGAAATGGCAAACAACAATATTCAAGTAGCTGTTGCGTAAAAGATCTGTGTAAGCAGCCTCAGGACATTCTTTTGAAAGATGTAGTCAGCAGATAATTAAGGCTCTGCATGCCTGACTCTGTGCCAGGCTGTAGATCAGGAGCAGAGAATATTTCTCCTTGGTGGAGGCCAAGCTGGGCTTTCAGACACGTTTGCTGTCCCACACTTCAGCAAGTACCACCGTGTCACCCAGTATCAGTGCAAAGATGTTCTGAACAGTGCTGGACGTAGGGAGCAGAGGTGTGGGGCAGGTTGGTCCTGGATCTCCAGGGTCAGGAACAAAAATCATCCTGTGTGTTTCCAATGTAAATTCTATAGAAATATGCAGTTCTTCACTGCAGATTATGTAAACTCTGTTTCAACAGCAGACCTTGAGATTTGAACTGTGGTAAGCTGTATTGCTCACCTTTTGGTTGCCTTCATTGGTTTAGTTGTGATGGCTTGCCATTGGGACTCATTTTGTGGCTCTGGTGCTGGTATGGAGAAGAGGGAGGCAAAAGAGGAGTCAGCACTGCTCACAGCTTTCAGCCTTTCATCGTGCTACCCATGAATTCATCTAAAAGAGGGCAATTCTATACTTCAGGAGGATGTATTGCAGGGCGTACCACATAGAGAGATTGTGCAGTGGTTTCCTTATGTCCAATAGTCTTTACAGAATAAAAAAAAACCCAAAGAAAAATAAAAGAAGAGAGAATGTTGTAAAAAAACCCAACTCCCTTCCCTTAATTCTACAAACCCACCAAATCTTGGAAGACCTAATTTGAGTGATTAGAGTTCAAGCTTTCATCTTGGCTGAATAGTGGCCTTTTTGACGTAAAACGGGTAAGATTATGGCGTGCCAATATGGTATCATCATTGCCTCTTCTGATAACAGGGTAGCTTAGTAGGTCTCCAAAGAAAACATGACTCAGCTGTGGATGTGGGATAGCTTTGCTGTTGTAGTCACTGCAAGGCACAGCGATCCAGCAATGGATTTCTTCAGCTCCGAAGCATATGAAAAACTAACCTCACGTAACCCAAGTGTGCAGCTGAATTTGGCAGAGACAAACTCATCTGCTTATCTCCAGGAAGAGGTGGAACAAGTGGCATCTGGCAGTATTTCATGATTTCATTTGAGGAGATGAGGTGATCTCTTCTAACCTCATTTTCTCTGCTTTTACCCACGTGTCCAATGCAGTGATGCATCACTGAGGGAAAAGTGCACAGAGCATTAACCTGCCTCTTAACCTATGAGATAATATTCCCATTATACATGGAATCTGCTCACTATTCTTTGCTTTGCATCATCTCCACAATGGGTGTTATTGTTGTCTTCTCAATTCTTAGTCAGTTTTGAGCCTGGCCCTGCTTTGCCCTTTAGCAGTGCTTGTGCAGAACAAAAGGCACGTGCCTTGACTCAGATTTTCCAGGGGACCCTGGGACAGCTCTGATTACAAACCTTTGCTGGTGATAGCTCCCACTGGACCTGGTTTTCCTGGTGTATGGAAGCAATCAGGAGTCATTTGGGCCATAAAGGACATGATGCGTTACACTACAGCAGTCAGATTCTTACACCAGTGTCAGGGGTCTGATGCTGTGCTGTGCTCAGTGCTGTGTGGACACAGTTAATGGTGCTCAGCAGGGCCCGTGAAGCTGGCCCATTTTGTGGGACTGAGCTGGTCAGTGAGAGGTTTTGTGAATACCAGATGCCTTTAAATCCCAGAAAGAGTCAGGATTTGGCATGTTCCTCTGCGTAACTGGGTGGATCCAGCCTGTGCTCGGGATCCATAGTCAGAAGTCCTCTCCTGGAGCTGTGTGCTTGGTCCTCCCGTTGGCAGGGGGGTCCACTCCATCAGCCCTGGGTGGGTGGTGGAGTTGGTCATGTCTCTCCTCCTGCTAAGACGTTTTCCTACCTGTGTGAAGAGCAGCCCTGGGATAGGAGACACTCAACCCATCTCACCTACTTCACATTTGACCTGGCTGTTATCCTCCTGGTTTGCTTAAAGGGTCTGTGGTTCCCCAGGTTGGATGTGTGGTACAGGTGCAGATACATGGCTCTAGGAAGATGGTTTGGGGGGCTTTGGTTCCTTTTCCTGCTCTGAGCACTGTTTCAAACAGGTAATAGGGAGGTCGGTCGGCAGGAGACCAGGTACTGCAGGGAAGCAAAGCTGAGCTCCTGCAGCATTTTCAGGTCCTCAGGGGTGGAGTGCTTGACTGGGGCTGGATGTGCACGATGGAAATTCCAACTCAGGCATCAGAAGAGGACTCTTACCTCTTTATCTGCCTTATTTTGACTTGTTTTTCTTCTCTTTGCTGGAGTATTGGCTCACACGGGTTAGGGAGAAATTAGATGGAGGAGTTCTGCACATTTTTTATCATTGCTGATGAAGTGAGATAAGACAGTTGGCAAGAAGTCTGACACTGCTTTGATTTTAATGAGCACTGAAACAAGATTGTTTTGGTAATTAGGTAATTTTCCACTCTTGGTTATTTCAAAGCCAAAGAAACAGTTTATTTAGAGTGTATTCTCATCGTTGTGCCTCTGCTTTTCATACTCCCTTATGCACTGGACTCATTCTTCCAGGAGCGGGGTTGCAATTGAACACGTCCCCACACCCTTTTTTGTCTTGAGAATGAAAAAACAGCTTACATACATTTCAGGCTTGATTATTTTTTGAGGAATAATTGGTGGCAGTATGTTACCCCTTAATACATTTCTCTTTTTCCTTTTAATTTAACTTTCCTTTTCTTGTCTGGTGTACTTTCCTCTAGGAAAAGAATGACTCTCTGGCTCTTTACAAAACCAAAACATATGGATTTTATTACAGGAAATGATTACAAATGGATCTTTATTCACTAATATATGCCTAAGCTTATTTTTATTGCCTTGAAAAATGCACTTAAAATTTAATTTCAGATCCTAAGACTGCAACAGCAGTGACACAAGGACTAACAAAGCCAGGGAGGCTGCTTCTGCAGCCAGACACAGATAGACAGATAGATAAATAGAGTGTTTCAAAACCAGAAGCTGAAAAACTATAGATTTGACTCGGAATTACTCAATGGGGAGGCCAGGAAATTGTGGTCAGAGGCGTTACAGAGTGGATGACAAATGGTCTTTGTGAAAGGGAATTGCTTGTTTAACCTACATCAGTGGCATCTGCCGTGTCCTGGTGTAGGGCTCTGTAGCACTGAGCAGACACCAGAAACAGGGATAGACTTGGCACTCCAAGGGCTTTGTGTGGAACCTGCGGTGTGGTGCATGGGAGGTGTTCACTGTTTTATCTCATGAGCTGTTTTCCTCTGGCCATGTAAAAGAAATACTCCCCCTGGGCAGCAGACTGGAAGAGGACGTGTCAAAGGAGCAGCCTTCCTCCCATACGGATGTATAGGGTCCAGTAGCATCGAGATGCAGAATCCAGAGCTGTGCTGCTGCTCCCCACCGCTGGAGGTGGCTGCAGGACCAGCTGTGAGGGTGCCCCATGCCCAGCCCCAAGCTACCCCTTGAATGGTGCCCATGTGCCTTTGGGTGGTCTTGTGCTTCCACCAACTCCACCAGCCATGGGACAGCAAATGGCTGAAGCTGAAGGTCTTTTTTGCAACCCGCATCCCTGGCTCCTTGTAGGTGCAAACACTTGGCTGAGCAGCTCTGTGTTCACCCAGCCCTTTGCAGAAGTTTTCTGGTACTCAAATCAAGATGCTGGCATGCAAAGTGTGTACCAGGTGATGCTGGTAGGTCACCTTCAGAGAGGAAGGGGACTGGGGTCTTGAGGGAGCCCCTGCACATGTGGAGCTGGCCCCATGACCAGCCTCAGTGCTTCTTGCTGTTGGTTTTCCTTATGGGCCGGTGCTGGAGATGTCCATGAACCCACAGAGTTCTTCCCTGTGAGGGTGCTGAGGCGCTGGCACAGGGTGCCCAGAGAAGCTGTGGCTGCCCCATCCCTGGCAGTGTTCAAGGCCAGGTTGGACACAGGGGCTTGGAGCAACCTACTCTAGTGGAAGGTGTCCCTGCCCGTGGCAGGGGTTGGAGCTGGAGGAGCTTTGAGGTCCCTTCCAACACAAACCAGGCTGGGATTCTACGAGCGCGTGGTCCCTCCATCCCTTCCCGGCAGGCACCCGGCTGCTGGGGCAGCCCTGAGCTGGTGAGCTCCACACTTGTGCATCAGCATCCTGCCCCTTTGTCACACCTCATTAATCTCTGATCGATCTATAAATAAGCCTTTCAAAGCCTACATCAGCACTCAGGAATTATTTATGCTGAACTTTGGAATGATTTCTCTTTAATCAGCTCTTCGTCTTTGATTACAGGTCTGAACCGAGGGAACTGTCTAGACTGGAGTTAGTTTCTAGGGAGGAAAATTGGAGGTAGGGGAGGGAAGTGGTGGGGGGAGGAAGCGTGTGTTTCTAATGAACACGAGACAGGGGGGCTGGGGAGAGCAAAGCAGCAGGGTGTTAAGATCTCCAGTAGTCAAAGGAAGGGATTGCTTTAGGCAAACTCCTTCCAAAACATGGAATATATAATGTCTAGACAATCAGTCTGGGTTTGCTTTGTAATTCTCTTAGGAAACCATGACACAGAATTTATTTGCTTCTGTCACAGAAAAGCAGGTATTTGTTTCACTTACTGGCTCTTAATTACCCTGAAGAATTCCCTCTTAAGCCCCAGGCATTTCCAGTGTTTGTTAACAGTGTTAAAATGATGACAAATATCTGAAGCTTGTGGATTTTCCTTTCTCTCTGAGTGAGTGTGCCGAGGCTCGGCGATACAGCATCCTATTTGTCTCAAATCCAGCCGGGAGCACAGAGGAAGCACTTGTCTTTGGGAGGAACACCTATTCCCTCCCTGGCTCAGCCCATCAGTCAGATGGCCTTGCTCCTTTCACACCAAGTGTAAGAGCAACAGGGGAAGGAATCCCCGTTGGAAAATAAATGGGCAAATTCTGGATTTATTTTTTTCTGTTCTTTTTTTTTCCCCCTGTTAATATCATAGAGTCATGGAATGGTTTGGGTTGGAAGGGACCTTAAAGACCATCCCATTCCAATCAACCTTCCTTGAACACTGCCAGGGATGGGGCAGCCACAGCTTCTCTGGGCACCCTGTGCCAGCGCCTCAGCACCTTCTGCCTAAGATCTCATCTCCGTCTCCCCTCTGGCAGGTTAAAGCCACTCCCCTTGTCCTGTCCCTACATCCCTTGTCCAAAGCCCCTCTCCAGGTTTCCTGGAGCCCCTTTTTAGGCACTGGAGCTGCTCTAAGGTGTCCCCTTCAGGAGCCTTCTCTTCTCCAGGCTGACCCAACCCAGCTCTTTTAGCCTGGCTCCAGAGCAGAGCTGCTCCAGCCCTCGCAGCATCTCCATGGCCTCCTCTGGACCCATCAGCCAGGGAATTCCCCAGATCCCATGGGCAATGTGCCCAAATGAACCAGCACTTGCAGTGCCTTGTGTAGGTTTATCTGTTGGGAACATGGTGTTGGTTTCAATCCCCTGTTTGTATGAAGCCTCCTGGAAAGCGCGGTTTCAAAAAGGAATTGTGCCTGTTTTTTTCTGTGGTGAAATTGGCAACATGCAGCCCTGAAGAAGACAAAAAACCGTGGTTTGTCTGTTGTTCCAAGCCTGTATTTCTAATGAGGAGTTTGCTTAGAAACATCCCCGAAAATGGATGGACGCAGAACTATAGCAAATAGAGAAAAAGCAGTGAGATGCTGTCCGTTAACTGCTGTATCCATCTCTTATTCCAGAGTAATCAGTTACGAGTGCTGTCCTGGATATGAAAAAGTTCCTGGAGAAAAAGGCTGCCCAGCTGGTAAAAATATGTTTGACATTTTTGAGACTCCTTAAACTGATACAGCTGCCTGGTAAGGGGAAATGTTAGGAAATGGCTCAAAGTGGATTTAATCTTTGCAATTTGTGCACAATATTGCCATGAACAAGTCAGAAATGGACTCAGCAGAGCACCAGCTGAGTGCCAGATCAGCTCCATAGCATGCAAAGTGTTCCAGACAGCTTCAAACCTTGGCTATAATTAAGCTTAATCAAGCATAGGAGGGCTGTAGGGAACTACTTATTCCAACAAGTTGTATAGCTGTATTGGAACTACAATCCTAAGGACTGATGGAGTAGCCAGCAGCTCTGCCGATCTCTGCTCATTGTTATTTTGGCAAGCATGAGGTTAGCAAAATTGCATTTAGGAGGAAATACGGTTCAGCCACTGGTGAATTCACTGGGTTCATTGAAGACATATTCTGCTTTTGCTTTCTGAACACTTCCTTGATGCTGCCCAGTTAACCACAAGGGCTGGTGTGGATGGGTCAGTTGAGACTGAGTCCAGTGGTGAGCTGCCAGCTCCGAGCACCAAAAGCCTGAGTACAAGCAAGGATTAGGTGGAAGCAATGATTATCTTTGCTTGCCTCAATTCACATCCATATAAATCCAGAGTAACTCCATTTAAGCCTTCAGAGATGCAGTAGATCCTGGATTACTTTGCTGTAATTGAGGCTGGGGCTGTCAGGCTACGATTATTTATTATCTAATTAATGAAGAGAAACGAGTTCCCTGATGTGCTTCATTTCCCCTCACCAGCAGCTCTCCTTTAATTCAGCATAGAGCAGGAGGGAAGAATGATGTGCTGGGAACGTAACCTTCTCTTCTTTCAGCGCTGCCGCTTTCCAACATCTATGAAACGCTGGGAGTTGTTGGGTCTGCCACCACGCAGCTCTACTCCGACCGCTCCAACCTAAGGCCAGAAATCGAAGGACCTGGAAGCTTTACAATCTTTGCCCCAAGTAATGAGGCCTGGGCATCACTGTCTGCTGTAAGATATAGTTCCTCTTCTTTCTTCTCTCCTTCTGCCTTTGTCTAGCGGAGATCCAGCTATGCAGGGGTCTGCATCCAGCCCCATCTGGCAGAATAGACACAGTCCTGAGAAGGACTAGGATTTTCCAAGATGGGAATCACTGTACTGGTCCATCAGCTCCAGAGCTTTGTTTCTCTGAAAGAGCCCATCACTAGAGGCATATATGGATGCTCTCCAGCAGGTGGATGTAGAAATCACCTCATTTAGTTTTCCCTGCCCTTTACCATTAGAGATTTTGTTAAGACACTTTCCATCCCTTTCATGTTTTTCTTGTTGACACTTACTTTACCCTTCTGGTTGTTCTTAATAATCTGTACAAGATACGTAAGAACAGCTACTGGGGCAGGGAGAGGGCATCTTTTTGGCTACCCCGCCCCCATCAAGCCTCTACCCAAACCTGCACCCGTGGAGCCCCTTGCAGGGATGCTTCTGTTGGGGAGGGTCTTTTGGTGTATTTGTCTTTGGCCCTGAGCGATGCCTTTTGTTGCCTCACTGCTCATTTCAGTGCAGTGATCCCACACTGGAGCTTGCTGCCATCATCCCTTTTTCTGCCAAAGAGGAGGGTGCCAGAGCTGCTGTTGTAAAGCAAAAGATCTGCGAAAGTCAGAGCTCTTAATGTGCACAGATGGTGAACACATCACTCAATAAACACACGCATACACACCTTGGGAGCACCCTGGATGCAGCCAGGCTCCTGGCTCTCTCTAACAACTGCCTTAATTCCACTCAGCACTAAAAACCGAATTCTTGTGATTTTCAGGAAACTCTGGATTCCTTAGTGAGTAATGTTAACATCGAGCTGCTCAACGCCCTCCGCTACCACATGGTGAACAAACGAGTCCTCACGGATGACCTGAAACATGGGACAACACTCAACTCAATGTACCAGGACCTGCCTATCCAGATTCACCACTATCCCAATGGGGTAAGACGTGTATTAAACCTGCCCACAGCAGGCTTGCTTTTCTGCTGCTTCGTACCTCCTACACTGTCCTTGGACCTCCAGGACTCTGTAATGCTCAGGTTGACAACTATTAATTTAGAATACACAGTTAGAAGGAGCTTGAAAGGAATATTTATAGTCAATAGTTTCATCAATGCTATTGCAGGGAAGTTGCCCACGTTGCTGCCTAAGTCCTTGCATATTTTCTTAGTCTTGGTGATTCAGGGGAGACAAAACCACTGATTATTTTCAAAGCTCTTTAAACATCAAATGTTTCAAACATCCTTGATAGTGCATTCTCATTCCTTGTGTGGTTTTCTTTAGGAAACCACATTTCTGCTCCTGCTGATTCAGTATTATAGCACTCACCGTGTTTGAAATAGAAAACCAGCAGAGGCTGCTTTACCTCCTTGTTTTAGTGCACATAACACCCCGTGGCTCTGTCCCTCTGCAGATTGTGACTGTAAACTGTGCCAGGCTGTTGAAAGCTGACCACCATGCCACCAATGGAGTAGTCCATGTCATTGACAAAGTCATCGCTACCACTACAAACAGCATTCAACACATCATTGAGACTGAGGAAAGTCTGGAAACTCTTCGGGTGAGTCCACCCTGCATATGTTCCAGGTTCCATGTTCAGTCATCCACCCTGGTGCATTGTCATGAAGAGCTTGCCAGTGTCTAGGTGCTGTGATTCTAAAGCTGCTGATAAAATCCTTGTGCCAATGTGCCTTATTTTGCTTTAGGAAGAGAAGTGTTTGATATCAGTGCAAGTAGGGCTTTATAAGAGTGATTGTCACCCTGCTATTGCTGCCAGTAAAGTGATGTAGGCTGAGTCTGTCTATCTCCTCACTTTTCTATGGGAGTCTCTCTTAGGAGATATTAACTGTTCAGATTTGATGAGTACTGATTTATTTGCCTTGACCTTCTCCAAGTTAAGGAATAATTTAAAAAGCACAGGGGTTTTGCAGTCAGCCAGCTGTGGGTTCTGATCTGGATTATTCACTGGAATTATTGTGACCCATTCCAGGCCTATCAGGGTATTTGAATTAGCTCTCAGTCTTGCCAAAATAGGGCTCTTGTACTCTAATTTCTGGAACACAAGAGAACCATGGACCAGGTCAATTTATAAAGGGACCAAAGTGCTGAAAGAAACTATTCAGGATTTTTTATAAGTCTTCTGAAGTTATAAAAGCCTTAATAAATCTGGCCCTGGACAAAGTTGCTGACCTTTGTATTCTGGCTGAATGTGTTTTACCCTCTCCTCCTTTCTCTGAAGGCTGCTGTGGCTGCTTCTGACCTCAACAGCTTGCTGGAAAGCAAAGGCCAATACACGCTCCTGGCTCCAACCAACGAAGCCTTTGAGAAGATCCCACGAGAAACACTGAACAGGATCCTGGGGGACCCAGAAGCCCTGAGGGGTATGTGCTTGTTTACTGAGCCCAGCGAGAGACTGAACAGTGGTTTCTGGTTCTTCTGAATTCCCTCTCAAGGACATCTGAACTGCTCCTTGGTGCACTCTGACAATAACTGCAGTAAGCCGATTTGACCGGCTCCAGCTTTTTAAACTGGACAGCCCAGACTGCTTTGGATGTAGATATGGTAGATGTGTAGATGTGGCAGCAAGAGTGGTATCCAGACACGGAGGAGGGGGCTGAAGCAGTCTCTTTTCCAAGTTTTCCTCTAGCACTCCTGTATGTGATGGTGATTTCTATCAATCCAGCAAGATGCAAGAAAACTAGTATTTAAAATCTAATCTAACAAATGAGTTGAATAACCACATGAAACCTTTTGAAGTTGGTAAAGTTGTATAAAAATGACTCTTTTTAGGCACTTTATTCACAGGCTGCTGAATTAAAATCAGCACAATGTAAAATGACTGTGCATCTTTTGGAGAGGAGCCCCATCCAGTACAGTACAGAACAGGATCCCTAAAAGCCGCCCTTATTTCAAAGCTGATTTTTGCAGCTCACTAAGACACTGCCTCTCTTACAGACCTGCTGGA